TCTACATCCCCGACCTCCACCTCTAGCTGGCTGAGCAGGTGGGGTAGCAACTGAAGCTATAACCAAAGCCTGAGAACTCTGTGGGGCACGCTGTGACCAAGAAGTCTGTGGAGGTGCACTCCTCTAAAGTCTAGGGCAATCCCTCACCACATGGCATGTGTCACCACACTCAAAACAAGCTTGGGGAGGATGTGGTGACTGTGACTAGCTCGGGCCAGGTCTGCTGGACTGACCTCTGAAAGTACCCCGCGCCGGAGGCGCACTAGACACTGGAGGTGCATAATAAGGCTCCTGAGGCCTAGGAGGAGCTGGAATACCTCTGGCTGTTGGAAAAGCTGAATGAATAGGGCGACTCATATAACCCCTACCATGACGACCTGTAGTAGGGGCGCGGGCACAAGAATAATGGCCTAACTCTCGAGACCTCTTGGCCTCCCTCTCCTCTCTATCCCTAGCATGCATACACTCAATCTTAATAGCAATGCTCACTACCTGCTGAAAAGAAATATCTATCTCCAACTCACGAGCCATGCTAGACCTGATACTGGGAATAAGCCCCACAATAAACCGGCGAACCCTCTCACAAACAGTAGAAACTAAGGCTGGGGCATGCCTAGCCAAGCTAGTGTAAAGAACAGCATACTCCGAGACAGTCATAGCACCCTAGCGTAAATGCTCAAACTCCGCGTGCCATGTGTCCCTGTGGCTCTGAGGAACATACTCTCCAGGAACATATCTGAAAACTGAGTCCAAGTCAGGGAAGCAGCCTCATCCAGACAGTCTAACTCATTGGTGCACCACCACTCATAGGCGGCTCCTCGAAGCTGGAAAGCAGTGAAGGAAAACCCACTCGATCCTGATATACCAATGGTACGGAGAATACGGTAGCAGTCATCTAGAAATCCCAGAGCATTATCCGATGCTAGACCACTGAATACCAGAGGCTTGTACTTCTTGAACTTCTCAAGCCTCAACTGCTCATCCTCGAAAATCGCTGCCCTGTCCTTGGACTGATTTGGGACTGCATGTTGTACAGGAATAATCTCTAGAACCTGATCAACATGCACTTGTTTCTCAGGAGTGCGGGCAGTGGGGGTCTGTGCTCCTCCCCCGGCCTGAGATGTAGCTGCAACAAGGGGAAGCAACCCTGCTTGAGCCAAAGTTATGTACATGCTCATGAACTGTGCCAGAGTCTCCTGAAGTGCTGGAGTAGTAGTAACAGTAGGCATATAGGTGCCTGGGCTCTGGCTGAAACTACTGGTGGCTCCTTAGTGGTAGCTCACACGGGGTGCCCTGGCTGCACTGCATGCGCGTCCTCGACCTCTACCCCTACCCCCGACTCTGATGGCTACAGTAGGGGGCACGGGTGCCTAATCATCTCGGGTAGCATGTGTCCTCACCATCTGTGAGAAAATAGAAGACAAAAGTTTAGAGTTGTGATATCAAAAATCTCGCACGATAAGGAAATCAAATGAAGTGGAATTTTCCTAACAATTACATAGCCTCTCCGCACCGATCCGCGAGACTCTAATAAACCAGCTTATGATTCATGAATCTTATGAACCTAGAGTTCTGATACCAACTTGCCATGACCCCAGTTCGCCCTCTGTGAACTATCGTGATGGCACCTAGTCTCTACGACTAGGTAAGCCTAACAAAATGCAAAAAAGAAACAATTTGCGGAAAGAAAATAATTAAAAAAGAAAAAAAACCGAGATAACAAATGAAACAGTGTTTTAGATAGCGCTTGGCATGTAACAGTACAAAATCTAAACCTAACACTCCTAAAATCCGGAACCCCATGAATCACAAACTAAGAGTTTACATAAAAAGCTCTAACTCTAAGAATATCTATCAACAACGAAAATATAGAAGGGCTATACTACTAAGAATAGAAAGGGACTCTTTCGTATGCGAACGCGGTAGATATACATCGAAGTCTCTATGAAAGCGACTCGCCTCAAGTGTGCTAAGACTGAGTGGAAGTAATTGGATCCACACATGAAAAACATACGCAGAAAGGGCATGAGTACACTACAGCGGTACTCAGTAAGTGCCAAGCCTAACCTCGGCTGGGTAGTGACGAGGAAGGTCAGGGCCTGATATTAGGCTATATAGATAATATTTACACCTTAATATTACCATGCTTTATTATTGTTTTATAGGTGAATTGATAACAAAATACTCTATTTGGTGTTATTTTGCTTCGCAGGGAATAGTCTAAGTGAGGAAGCACTACGGAGTGTTTTGGAGTCAATAATGTGAAGAAAATGCCCAATCAAGAAGTACCCAAGCATAAAGAAGTGAAAATAGACTGAAGGAAATCCAGTGCGACCGCGGTGGAACCGCAGTTTAACCGCAACAGACAATTAAGTGAGGTAGAACGTTCAACCTTCACCCTGCGGTGAACTGTTCAATTGCCAGAAAATTGGGGACCAAAGTGTAATTGGGGGAAAACTTGTTCCAAACTCTTATAAACTTTAGAAGCTCGTCCAAGACAGAATTAAGCTTGTTTTTGGACTACTTTGGAGGCAAGAACAAGTATGAGAAGGTCAACCAAACATTAGTGTTTTTCTATCTCCTTTTATTTCTTGCAATTTTACATTATGAACAAATTAGTAGTTTTCTCTTATTTTATTATGAGTAGCTAAACAATTATCTAGGGTTGATGGAACCAATTGTTGGTTGAAGTTTTGACTCAACTTGTTATAATCGAGCCAGATTTATTATATGATTGTTCAAGTACGTTTTGTATGGTGATTAATTGAATAGGACCTTGATTAATCGTGTCTAATTACCTCATATTGCTTGAGAAAGAATATTAGGTTAGACAGCTGTTGAACAACACCACTTTTGGGTAATTGAAGAGATTCATTACATGAACTTAAAAGTGGATTTAGAGATAACAAATCTTTGGTGGGATAATTTAGAGCTGCACATATTGTCAGCTAGAGTAGTTCGAGAGAATGCTCTAGTAACTTATTGTAGTTGATCGAGAGATAATTACGATAACCCATAGCTCTTAATCCTCATAGAGTATTACGGCGAGATTATAGCGAATGAGTCAAGACCTAAGCTAACAATTGGGAAAATCACTGCCCTAGACCTTTTTACTATTGAATTATCTTTAATCTAGCTTATTGTTATTTCCAATCTTATTTAAAGTAGTTAAACAAAACCCAAGATTGATTGATAACAAATCATGCTTCTAGAAATTGGTTGAGTTGATAATAGCATTGCCAAAGAGTTGTAATAGATAGGTTAGTTCCATAAGGATTCGACTCCGGACTTAAAACCAGATTATATTTGTAACGACCACTTTGTCTTTTAGAAGGCATAGTTGGGAGTGATCAAATTTTGGCGTTGTTGGGACTAACGGTGTTACTTATTACAACTTAGAAGTAGTGTTAGAATTATTAGTTTAAATCAATTTTCGAAGGTGTTAAACAATCTTTTCATTGAAATTCTCACGTTTGAACTCTTGTGGAATTCAGGTGTATGCCTAGAAACTCTTCGAGGACTGGAGAACTGCTAGAAGGACTCTCAGACCCCGATAAAACATTTAGGGCATTGAACCGTGCCAACAAGAGGATCCAACAATCACAACAACCACACCAGCTCGAATTTGACATGGGTGACGTAGAAAACGTCAACGGAAACGTCGGGGATGCGCCAGCTCCCCCAAACATCGGAGTAGTGGCACCTCTTGTTCCAGAAGCTGCACTTTATGATTAGGCACAACCTATAGCTAACAACCTGGCTACTGTCATAGTTGTGCCCCCAATTCAAGCAGAGACATTCCAGATAACCAACAACATGCTGCATCTTCTGTAGAATAAGGGATTGTTCTCCGGATCACACATTGAAGACCCTCAGCAACACTTGAAAATTTTTCTGTCGATTTGTGTGACCCAAAGGCAGCCGAATGTGACCCTAGAAGCTATCAAGATATTATTTTTCCCGTTCTCTGTGACTGGGGAAGCTCAAACTTGGTTGAATTCGCTCTCTATCAATTCCATTATCACCTGGCAGGAATTAGTCAAGCAGTTCCTGAATAATTTCTACCCACACAACAAGACTGCAAGGAAGATTGATGAAATATTGCGTACAAGCAGCAACCAACTGAGACCATGCAGGAAACTTGGGAAAGGTTCAAAGGGATGCTAGTAAAGTGTCCTCACCATGGTATTCCGGATCAGATGCTCGTTCAGAGGTTCTACATGGGGTTAACTGACAATCTAAAGACCAATGTGGATGCTTCAGTTGGGGTGCATTTTTGAATAAGACATTCACCGAATGCAAAGTCCTTTCTGACAAAGATGTCCTAGAATTCGAGGTGGATGACTAGAGGTACAACACTGGCACCCATAGTGCACTCCGTTCCTCTTGACCCATCTAATTTGCAAGCAGAGAACATGGCCACCCTCCTGACTTAGATGAGTATATTGACAAAGAAGATCGACGAGATGGGTACAAAACAGGTGCATATTGTTGACACAACAAATGGAGGACTGTGTACACCTTGTGTTAATTAGTATTATGTGTGCTTATGGAGTGGAGAAGGTGACAATCAAGGGGTATGAGAAGATATGAATTATGTCAACAACTTTGAGGGTCAGAGACAAGGAGAACAGCAGTGGAGACCGGTACCAAATCAGCAATACAGGCCAAACATACAACAGTTTGGAGGTATGCAACCCCAAGGCCAAATAGTGCCATACCAGAGACAGCAGGGTTATCCACAGCAGAACCAACAACAGTTGACATACCAGTCACCTCCTCAGCAGCAAGATAACAACATGGTAGAGATCACGGGTATGCTACAGCAACTCATTGGGACAAATGGTAAGATGCAGGAAAAGTTGGCAGTGTATGATTCATCTATAAAGAACATTGAAACTCAGTTGGGGCAACTGTCTATGACTTTAAAAAACTGCCCCCAGGGAACATAACTAGTGGACACAAACATCAAACCCAAGGAGCAAAACCCGAATTAGCTGATGGCAGTGAGTCTCCGGAATGGGAGAGATTTAGACAAAGAGCAGGAAGTTGCACAAGCCAGCAAAGAGACTACGCCAGCCACTCCAATTCCACTAGAGGCAGATGAACTAACAGAACTTACCGAAGTGGTAGTTGAACAGGGTCAAGATGAAAAGGGTAAGGCTAAGGTGAGTGAACAAGCTGCAGAATAGGTGACACCTCTAATGCCATAGAACCCGAACAGAGAGAAGCCAGCAAGTAGTGCGCAAAGGGTTATACATGCACCATTCCCTCAGAGACTAGTAAAACAAAAGAAGGAAGATCAATACAGGAAATTCATGGAGATGCTGCATCAAATTCAGTTGAATATTCCTTTGATGTATGCCTTGAGGGAGATTCCAGGCTATGAGAAGATGATGAAGGACCTAATATCACAGAAGTTTGATTTTCAAGACCTATCCATAGTGACTCTAATGCAGACCTACAGTGCATTAGTGACAAGAACCATAGCTCAAAATATGTCTGACCCAGGTAGCTTTACTATTCCATGCACTATTGGGAGTTATACCTTTGCAAAGGCATTATGTGACTTAGGAGCCAGCATAAATTTGATACCTCTAGCTATATACACCAAATTGGGCATTGGCAGAGCTAGAGCGACTTCGATGCTATTGCAACTGGCTGACTGCACGGTTAAAAGGCCAACTGGGATTCTTGATGATGTGTTGGTACAAGTGGGGAAGTTTGTGTTCCCTGCAGACTTTGTTATTCTAGATTGTCAGGTAGATGAGGAGATACCTATCATTTTAGGGAGGCCATTCTTAGCCATTGGAGAGCACTAATTGATTGTGAGACTGGGAATTAAAAATGAGGCTAAACGATGAAGAAGTCATATTCAACGTTCAGCAATCCATGAAGAGACCCAGTGAATATGCTAATTGCTCCTTGGTTGAGGCAGTGGATGTGATCCTGCACGAAGATGATGTGACCCTGACGGCTAAAGATCCATTAGAGGCTTGCTTGACAAATTTAGAGGAGATGGATGGTGAAGGGTTAGCTTAGTCGGTCATGGCACTTGAAGGACAAGGATTTTGGAAAAGGGAACCTCAGTTCGAGTCCCTTGAGTTAGAAAAAAGGGCTACACCTCCAGCAAAGCCATCAGTAGAGGAACCACCCAAGCTGGAGCTGAAACCGCTTCCAGCTCACCTCAGGTACGTTTTCTTAGGCCCTGATTCTACATTGCCTATCATTATATCATCCGGTTTGCTAGATGTGCAAGTAGAGCAGCTCCTACAGGTACTACAAGAAATGTTTCCTTAGGCACGCCGGGTTCTGCAAGCGATTCATAAAAGACTTCTCTAAAATTGCTAACTCGTTATGTAAACTCCTTGAAAAGGATCACCCCTTTATGTTTTCTAATGATTGCAGGTTGGCATTTGAGGAGTTGAAGCAGAGATTGGTGACTGCACCCATCATTGTTGCACCCAACTGGGAGCAACCGTTTGAGCTCATGTGCGATACAAGTGATTATACTATAGGAGCAGTCTTGGGGCAGAGAAAAGATAATCTTATGCACCCAATTTACTATTCAAGCAGAACGCTTAGCGGTTCACAACTCAATTAAACCGTGACGAAAAAGGAGATGTCGGTTGTCGTTTTTGCATTCGACAAATTCAGGTCATACTTGATTGGCTCAAAAGTTATTGTTTACACTAACCATACAACAATTAGGTACCTGATATAAAAGAAGAAGTTAAAGCCACGCTTGATTCGCTAGGTTCTTCTATTAACAGAATTCGATCTGGAGATACGTGATAGAAAAGGGACAGAGAACCAAGAAGCTGACCACCTCTCAAGGTTCGAAGGCGCTGAAAGGAAGGTAGAGGTTGAGGATATAATAGAGACATTCCCGGATGAACAGTTACTAGCACTGACAATGGAGGAGGCACCGTAGTTTGCTGACATTGCTAACTATTTAGCAAGTAGTATTGTACCTCATAAACTCTCCTAAATTCAAAAGAAAAGTTCTTTCGTGACTGTCGGTCTTCTTATTGGGATGAACCTCTATTGTTTAAAATATGTGTAGATAACATGATCCGGTGGTGTATCCCCAAGAAAGATCAAAATTCTGTTTTGCAAGCTTGCCATGCCTCACCATATGGTGGACACTTTGAAAAAGTTCGGACAACAGCTAAGGTGTTGGAGTCGGGCTTGTATTGGCCAACTCTGTTTAAGGATGCCCATGCTTGGGTCAAAAGCTGCAATGAATGCCAAAGGACAGGCAACATATCTCGCAGACACGAGATACCAATGACCACAATTCAAGAGGTTGAAGTTTTCGACATGTGGGGGATCGACTTCATGGGACCATTTGTCAACTTATATTGTAGCAAGTACATATTGGTAGCAGTTGACTATGTCTTCAAGTGGGTCGAAGCAGTGGCTCTCCCGACCAATGATGCTAAAGGGATAACATGCTTTCTGAAGAAGAATATTTTAACATGATTTGGCACCCCGAGAGCTATACTCAGTGATGGCAGAACACATTTTTGCAATAGAGCATTCGCAAGGCTTTTGGAAAAGTATGGAGTTCGTCATAAGGTGACCACCCCGTACCACCCATAGTCGAGCGGGCAAGTTGAAGTGTCCAACAGGGAGATTAAAAGTGTCCTTGCAAAACAGTGAATGCAACAAGGACTGATTGGGAAAGGAAGCTGGATGATGCATTATAGGCGTACCGTATAGCCTTCAAAACTACAATTGGTATATCACCATACAAGTTGGTGGTTGGAAAGGCATGTCACCTCCTGGTAGAGCTTGAGCACAAAGCACTTTGGGCATTGCGGTAGTTGAACTTGGACATGGAGACAGCAGCCACTAACAGAGTCACTGGGTTACATGAGCTAGAGGAATTCAGGTTCCAGGCATTCGAGAGTGCTAGATTATACAAAGAACGGATGAAGCTGATGCATGACAAGCACATCGTGGACCGAAACTTCAAATCCGGAGAGCTAATGCTGTTATATAACTCCAGATTGAGATTGTTTTCGGGTAAGTTGAAGTCCCGATGATCAGGACCCTTCAGAGTGGTGCAAATGTTCCCAAGTGGAGCTGATGAGATTGAATCAGAGGATGGGACGAATAAGTTTACAGTGAATGGTCAGAGGTTGAAACACTACATTGGAATGGAAAAAGAGAAAGGGGACAGAGAGATCATAATGTTGGAAGAGCCCCAGTACGTGAATGAGGAGTGATGCTCCAAGTCTGCGTCGTGCCGCAACGTTAAATAAGGCACTGCGTGGGAGGCAACCCACGATTGTTGTGTTTCATTCGTGTATGTAATCATTATTATAAAAAAAAGAAACATTTTGCATCGCGACCCGACCGCGGTAGAGGCCAAGTATTCTACCTCGCCTTTGCCAGACCCACCACGGTGAGGGGCATGGATTCTGTCTCGCGTTACTCAACCCACAGCTACCACGACAGTTTGGCGTCAGGTAAGTTTTTTTATTTTATTTTATTTTATTTTATTTTTTTGTATTTTTTATTTCTCAATTTTCTTAACACCCCCTAATAATATCAGAACTTCCTCCCCTTCTTATTTCACCTAACCACCCGCCCAACCCCCTCACTTCCCCCATCTTTTCTCTCTCTTTCTAAACCCTAACTCCCAAATCTGTCCTCTCTTCTTCTTCTTCTTCTTCACTCATCTCACTTCACCCATCCACACTCCTCTCCTTCTATCTTCCATCAAGATATGTTTCTTCTCCCTTACGTCATCTTTTGTATTTTATTTTAGTCTTTATGTAGTTTAATGTTGCAATGGTGTAGTATTACTAGTAGGTTTATTTTTTTTGTTTTTTTTGAATGTTTTCTTGGTGGGTGCTTGTTAAGGTATTCTTTATATAATGTGGTGGAAGTGTATGTTTGTGGGTGTTGAACTAATGGTTGTGGGGTGTTATGGTGGAGTAGAACTTGTGATTTGGGGGAAGCATTGAAGCATCCATATGGGCTATATGTATGAAGAAATTGTCTTTCTCACAAGGTGTTTGGGAAATTGCTCCAATGGAATTATAAGGGCTAATGTGACATGGTTGTGGTGAAGTCTGAGTAACCACCCATAGTTCACACATCTCACACCCTCACTGATAAGCGTTTATCTAGTTGACAGGTACAATGAATCCATCTAGGAAGAGACGCACCATCGGGTCCTCCGCCAGTGGACCGGGAAGCTCCTCGAGAGCTAGGGGTCAAGCCAATGCACAACAGTTTGACAACACTAGGTTTGTCTCCAAATCGGCAGAGGATAGGTACAATGCAAAGGTGGCTAAGAAATTATTACATGAGGTGCATATTGACCGAGAAGCCTTAGAGGTGGAATGCCCGAATATCTTTAATGAGTTGAGGATGTGTCAGCTGGACATTTTTTTTTGAGGAACCGGAGGAGGCCAATGTTAAGATGGTAAGGGAGTTCTATGCTAACTACCCGGAACATGAGAATGGAGTTGTTACTGTACGCAATACATGGGTAAATGTGTCCATCGAGGCCATCCACAGGGTGTACCGGCTACCAGTGTTCAGGGGGAATCTGATGATTATCGTACTTTTAGCTGAACAAGTGCCTTGTGGGGAACTCTTCTTGAGACTATCTATGTGCCTGACAGAGAATACATATGGATAAAGCACCGGATCACACTTAACTTCCCATTTCTCAATTGGCAGGCTAAGTGTTGGCTCACCATTATCAACAGTCGGTTGTTGCCTTCTAGCAATACGACTGATATCAATCTACCTCAGGCGGCAGCGATCTACTGTTTCATTGAACACAGGGATTTTGATGTGGCCCGGCTCCTCCATGACGAGATGCTAATTAGATCACCTGAGTTACTCAAAGGATTCTACTTCCCTTCTCCAGTCACCAGGTTGTGCCGTCTTGCTAGACTCCCTGAAGACCCTAGATTTGATGGGTAATTGCCACTGAAAGCACCGTTCCTGGCAAGAAAAATCAGAATTGGGATAGAGCCGGTGGTGAATGTTGATGAATCTGATGATGATGATGCTGAGGTAGCTGAGGTCCCACCACCTACGAGAGTTGATGAGGCGCGCTGTAGTACCCACCTGATAGCCCTGGAGCTGGATATGGCTAGTCTCCGCACGTCTGTCACAGACTTAGGCACCAGAGTTGACACTATGACCACTCAACAGGCGAAGTCGGAGAAGAAGATTTTGGGATGGCTTCGAGCGCTAGGACGAGCATGTCACCTTGATCCTGGCACCGTCTCTGATCAGGATTTATCTTCAGGGAAGTTTCTCATTCCTTAGTGTAAGCACGTGATTTTTGCTTTACAAGCAATCGCTCCAAAATAAAATAAAAATAGTGACAAATGGTTTCGCTGTACAATTGTTCGAATTTTCGTGACATGTGTTGTTAGTCATTTGTAGGTCTGTCCATTTCGCATTTAGTCATTATCAAACAAAACACAAAAAAAAATATGTGTCGTTAAAAGAAAATTCAAAAAAATATAAATATATATGCGTCGTTCGTTCCAGGTTGTGATTTAACTTACTTAAATACTTTTATGATAATTATGTGGAAATGTTACAGTGTTGTTGATTTTAATTTCACTATTTTATTATTATCTCATTTTTGTTTAAAAGAAAAAAAAAAGCAAAAGAGTGAAGGAAAATCGGTTTGGGCCCAAAGGAAATGAAACAAAAACAGGCCCAAACCAGCACTCAGACCCAGTCCAAGTCCAGGCCTGCCCAGGCACCTCCTGAAACGACGTCGTTTCAGGCAAATCAATCTGAGCCGTCTGTCCAGGCCAATCCAACGGCTCAGTATCTCTTTCAGCAACCCATTTTCAAACCCGACCCAGGAACCAATCCGACCCAACCCCTCACTTAAACCAAACGACCCCGTTTAACTACCAAACGACCCCGTCTNATCCTCAAGAGTTCGAAGTTGAGTCAGATTTGGGTCATTTTGATTTCAAACTCTTTTGGTAAGTTTTCCTTTCTTTTGTTTTAGTTCTAATCAAGTTGTCAGCATGTTTCGT